GGCTAGCCTCGAACTCACAGCAATCCGCCTGCCTCTGCCTCTCAGTGCTGGGATTAAAGGTGTGTGCCACCAACACCCGGCAATACAAACAAGTTTTAAGATCTTTTGTTTTTTTGGAGACAGGGTTTCTCTGTGTAACAGCCCTAGCTGTCCTGGAACTAACGCTGTAGACCAGGATGGCCTGGAGCTGACAGAAATCTACCTGCCTCTACCTCCCCTGGGATTAAAGTCATGAGCCACCACCACTCAGTAAGATTTTACTTTTTAATTGTGTGTACACATGTATCTGTATGTTTGTACGTGCCCTAAGAGTCCAGAAGAAGTAGTTGTAAACCCCTTGATGTGAGTGCTGGGAATTGAACCTGGGTACTCGGGAAAATCTGCAAATCCTCTAACAGCTGAGCCATTTCACCAGTCCCAAATTAAAACAAACACAGTTGACATGGCAAGTGGCATATTATTAGATGCTAAGAAGTAGCCACTATTATTACTATTACATGACAGGAATTGTGCTAAGTGCTAGTGAGACACAAGTGATAAAACACAGGTCTTGCTCTGAACACCTAAATGGGGGCTGGTAAGATGGCTCAGCAGATGAAGGAACTTGTCAACAAGACATATGCAGTGGAAGGAATGCCCAGCCCTGCAAAGTGTCCTCTGTCCTCTAATACACACCTGCACTCGCGTGCGCGCTCTCTCTCTCTCTCTCTCTGGCCCCTCCCCCATCTTATGCTTGAGCATATACACATATAATAATTAGGTCAATAACTAAAAGTATTTTTTTAAAGACCTATCTGGGGAAGATACAAACAGGAATTCTTCTGTAGCAAGTTAAGTGAAAGACAGGCATGGGTAGACCTGAACTCTGAGGAGTTGGGGACACTCATTAGCCCCAAGCAAGCATTTGAAGAGAGCTTAGCCATGGCTGAGCTTTGACAAATGAACAAGAATTAGCTGGGGGAGGGGAAGCGGGGAGGACCTGAGTCAGAGGGGCAGCAGCCATGCACCACAGTTTCCATACTGCAGAGCACCGAGAGCATTCCGACCAGATTCAACCCAGCAAGTACATAGAAGGCTTTTGCAATATTTTCTAGTAAGAGTAGATCTCTGATGATGAAATAACAGCAGAAACACAGCAGCAGTCGAGTAATGATGTTTTTCTACGGGCCAGCATTGAGTGCACATCACTCAAGCGCACATTTCCATGGCAGAGGACACCATGCTCTGACTCTTCAGAACAGGCGGAGTGACTGCTCACAGTCACCTGGCTAGGGACCACAGCTCTCATTGCCCTGGTGACAGAGGCTTCCCCATGAAACATGGAGAAATGATACACACTGCTCAGCTAAGGAGAAATGGTCTAGCTGAGGCCTTTACAGCCCATGGTGTTTTCAGGATCAATTCTTCAGTGTGCAAATATAGCTGGAGTTGAGAATTCTGCAGTGGCTACCAATACCAGTGAGAAAGAATGTGTGACGGAGGACAACAGAGGAGCTGTGATGGTCAGCAGGGCAGAAGATGACATAAGGGAATCCTCTGCGAGAGTGCTGCCAACAAAGCAGGCTTGGATCCACTTGAGAAACAACTCCCAGGCCAAGCATGGTAGCACACACCTCTAATCCCAGCACTCCAAAGGCAGAGATGGATGGATCTCTGTGAGTTTGAGCCCAGCCAGGGATATGTAGTAAGACTATTAAAATAAAATAAAAAAAGAACCAACTCCCCTTTAGTGAGAGAAGAGGTTTCTATGTTTCCGTTTCTCCTGAACTCAAAATGGTATGCCAGGGTAGAAGAGCAGAAGGAAGAAAAAGCTGTCTCATGCTTGTTCAGGTCAGTGTCAGCCCTAAGGGAGCTCTGCTCTGCCTGGGGTAGTCCCAGGAACATCACTAGGGTCACAAGCTGCTCTAGCACCCTGTTCTATGATGATCCTGTGGCAGTCTTAAGGGCTTCTCTTCCAGACACTTGAAGTAACCTTTACCTCAGAGGGTAAAGTGAATGTGACTCTATTATGTGCTCAAGGGATGCGGAGGGAACTCTACATTTCACAGCAGGGTGGAAAAGGCTAGCTGGGAAGAGAACAGGGGTGGAAGTTACCTCCAGTGGCTGCTGTGAGCTCAGTTCTGCGGACAAAACCAAGGTATCCTGTCCGTGCCCAGAGAGTCTGTGCAGCATCTCCGAAGCTCAGGCGGGTATTGAAATGATCAGCTTGAAGAGTCTCACTATCATAGATGGTATAGTAGCCACTGGCTGTATGGGGGCTATTCACCCAGATCTACAAAAAAAGGAAACATGATGACATCAGTTCAATTCTTCTGGGACAGACTATTTTTTTTAAATCTCATTTTCATATTAACAACACAATCACAACACTGTGTAGATGACATCTGCCAGCATTTACTCTCTGCCAGACTTCAGTGGCCTGATCTTCATCAGCTGTGACACACAGAGCAGGCTCATAGCCACACCACTTTATTCTCACTATACAGGTAGAAAGAAAAGTCTACAAGTTCCTCTAAGATGCAGGACTAGAAAGGAGCTCCTACCCCGGTGGTTAGCACCAGAAGCCGTGCTCCTGACCACTAGGCTGCACTGCCTTGCCGGGTTCATTTCTGACTGGCTTCCAGAGTCCCACAAAAGCACTAAGGCACGGTTACTACACTGCTGGTGTAACCATGGCACAAGGCTCTTGGGGATAACACCACAGGACACTTGAGTTCACAATACAGACAGGCCAAGAGCTGACAACTATGATAGTAGCAGCCACCACTGGATCTGTTGGAAACTTGAGAGACAGCCTGCTTTGGTGCATTGTAAGTCTAGGTGTAATTCATGTAACTATCAAAATTTCTACCTCTTATGTGTGGTGCATGTTGTCATTATTAAAGGTGAAGAAACAGGTCTGGGGAAGAAAGCAAGCAGCCTGCCCTCCCTTGATAGCTGGTAACTTGCTGTGGTGATATCAATGAGAATGGCACCCATAGGCTCTTACATCTGACTGCTTCATCACCAGGGAGTGGCTCTATTTAAAGGATTAGAAGGATCAGGAGATATGGCTTTGTTGGAGGAAGTGTGTCACTGGGGGTGGACTCTGAGGTTTCAAAAGCCCACATCAAGCTTAGAGTCAGTCTTTCTCTCTCTTTCTCTCCCCCTCTCTGCCTACAGATCAGGTTGTAGCTTTCAGCTACTATTCTAGTGCCTGCCTGTATGCACCCATGCTCCCTGCCATGATGATAATGAACTTTTTGTTGTTGTTGTTGTTTGAGACAGGGTTTCTCTGTAGCTTTGGAGCTTGTCCGGGAACTCACTCTGTAGACCAGGGTGGCCTCGAACTCACAGAGATCCCCCTGTCTCTGCCTCCTGAGTTCTGGGATTAAAGGTGTGTGCCATCACCACCCGGCTGGACTAAACTTCTAAAACTGTAAGCAAGCCCCCAGTTCAATGTATTTTCTTATAATAGTTGCCACAGTCCCAGTGTCTCTGCCCAGGAACAGAACAGTGACTAATATGGTGGTAGAAGCGGCTCTCTGGCATCTACGCTTCCAAGACTGCCTCTGCCTCCTGAGTGCTGGGATTAAAGGCGTGCGTCACCAACACCCGGCAAGAGGATTTTCTTATTGATTGATTGATTGATTGATGGATTGATTGATTGATTGATTGATGGATTGATTGATTGATTGATTGATGGATTGATTGATTGATTGATTGATGGATTGATTGATTGATTGATTGATTGATTATGTACACAAGTGCTCTGCCTGCATGAATGCCTGCTGGCCAGAAGAGGGCACCAGTTCTCATTACAGATGGTTGTAAACCACCACGTGGATGCTGGGAATTGAACTCAGGACCTCTGGAAGAGCAGTCAGCTCTTAACCTCTGAGCCATCTCTCCAGCCCTGAGGATTGTCATATTAAAATCATAAATTTTGGACTATAACATTTATGTGAATTTAAAAATGTATACATGTGGCTCCTCTTGGTTCCAGCCCTTCCTAGATGGGAAGAGGTAGCATTTAGCTGGTTTGCTTTCAGCTAAGGGAATGGCAGTGAACAAATCTGAGACTATTTCTACCCAATCTTGGTTTCATTCTCAGCCTCCTCCTTTTGTACCTTTCCATCACAGCTTTCCAGGAAAAATAGCTATTCCCAGCAGATGGAATGGAGGTCAGTCTAGTTCTGTTGGCTTCTAGTGTGTGGTCCTTAAAATTTTGGCCACCAATTTCAGAGTGAACATGAGATTCACACCTACCTCACCCAGGTGAGAGTCTCCCACAGGTCCTTTGGTCTCCGGATTAACAATAACTACTTTTACTCCAGGTAAGATCTAAGAATCAAAAGGGGAACACAGATGCTCAGTCAGTCAAAGCTCCTAGCTCTGGCTGTGGCTTCACCTATTGGCAGAGGCCTATCTAGCATGCCTGAGGTCTGGCTTCAACCCCCAACCCTGCAAAACAACCAATGACCTCTAGACCTAGACCTTTATCTCTAGGAACTAGAAATGGTAGGAGCTGCCATCACTCAAGAGGCCCTGATGCACTTTTCTGTTTGTTTTCTGTTTTTTGTTTTTGTTTTTCTGTTTGGTCAATCTTCCTCATATTGGTTGGGATCCTGTAAGTTCCACTCTCCACCAAAAGCAGGTTTAGGATGTCACCTCTTCAGAGAATGAGAAACTTCTGCCCAGAGCCACAACAATGAGATTCTGGTATCCTTTTGGGTAAACCCTTTCCAAAGATAAAACAGTAGGGGGAGAGCACCTGAAGACCACACCATAGTCAGCATGGGCTGAGCTGGAGAGCTGCAGTAGTGAAAACAGAGAGAAAGACCTCACAGCCTGGCATTTCAAGAGAGGTCACATTTCCATCTTCAGAAGGGAAAAGAAACTAAGTGCTGGCTGAGCAGACAGCTCAGGACTTTCCAGAAGATGTATGTATCCTGGGCCAGGAGTGTAGCTCAGCAGTAAGCTGCTTGCTTAGTATGTACAAGGACCTTTTCGGGCAAAAAGACAGGTGGGCTAGCCAGCCATTCTGACCACCTGTCTCACCCCATTGAAATTGTTAGCTCGGGTCTCTAAACCCTACCAAGGCTTAATTATCTAAACTTGGAGGAAGGGATGAAAGCATAGTTCTCTGGAGCCTCAACCTGCCCTCACGACGTGGCATTCTTGAGGCCGTGTGCACCCAACTGCAGACATGGGCAGTTAATGGCACAGCCCACACAAGCAGTTCACACAGCAGAAACACTGCAGTCAGTTTCCTCTGGGGTGACATCTGCTGGATAGATTAAGCAAGATCTATTTTGATTTTTCTCTTCTGTCTGTGCCTCAGGATTCCTAGGAGGAACCTGAAATGTTGTCACAGTCCTGTCCTCTGTCTAGACAATGTGAGTGGGGGAGATGCTGTGGATGGAGGGGATGGGGGATGAAGTGGTGCTAGGAGCAGCTGCTTCATGCAGAAGAACAGCTGCTCTGCTTCCTGGTGTGCTGGGTCTCCCACAGCCGGCCCTGCTTCTCCATCCTGACTCGCCTTCCACCTTCAGGGTTTAGACAGAACTGGCTCTGTTTAGGTGCTGTTTAGCTATGCACTTGTGTACAATGAATACTCCATTTTTCTGGCTCATCAGTAAGAAAGGCAGGCCGTGGTGTTTAAACAATATGGAAACAAATCCACATCTGTCTTAATGACCATAAATTAAGCCATCCACTAAGGTGAGATTGTGGCTTACCCCTAGCTCAGGGTTCTGGCCTCTGCCTCCGGCCCACCCTCCCCCAGCAGCTGGTAGAAGAGAGTACCTTTCCAGACTCAGAGAGCAGGAGGCTCTGGGGGGCACCCCGCTCCACAAGACGAACCCTGCAGAGGAACAGCAGTTAATGTATAGTCCTGCTAAAACTGGGCTCACCACTGGAGCTGTCTCCCCAAGGCCTCTAACTGGCATCTTCTGTGCCCAGCAGAGCAGGACTTTACTATACCCTTGATGCTATATGTCAGGCGGATTTTGTTGAGGGAGTTCATGTGCTAGGTTTCAGTAGCAGCTCCATTGTGAGAACCACAAATGTGCCAGGCATGGTGAAATCTTCAGAGAAGAGGGCAGAATGCTGCCCAAGCAGGAGGACATGAGTGCCATCCTCAGCATCAGCAAAGAAGCCACACGTGCTGGGACATGCTTATGATCGAGTGCTGGGAGATGGAGACCAGCATCTCCATGGAGCTAGCCAGCTTAGCAGAATCGGTAAGCCACAGGCCTCAGAGAGAGCCTGGTCTCACAAAACAAAGTATGTGATGCCTGAGGACCTGAGTAACAACACCTGGTCTACACAGACACACACACAGACACAGACACACACATACGCACACACACAAACCAACCACCACAGTGCAGCCTGGAGTCTACCTGGATATCCTAGAGACCAGCCACTAGCCTGGTGTGCAAAGGGCTCAGTATCTCAGCAGTGTGCACAGGGACAAAGCTAAAAATCTCAGCTTTACAAATTCTGGAGTCAGATAAGTGTTGTTTCAAAGATCCTGTCCTGCCTCATTTATCTTATCTGTCCCATCTTTGTTTTTAAACTGCGGAGTAAAGACACTATTTTTTTCTTCTAAATTTAGCCAGGGACTCCTTAGAAGCTCTGGCTGTCCCGGAACTCACTCTGTAGTCCAGGCTGGCCTGAAACCCACAGAAATACACCTGTCTCTGACCCTGAATGCTGGGATTAAATGCATGTACCACCACACCCAGCCCCACAAAAGGATTTTTATATAGCTAGGAACTAAGATTATATTTTAGAACTATATTTATAGAACAATGGAGGAAGCCAGGCATGGTCCATGTACCTGTAATCTAGCAGCATCAGAGGCAGGAAAATGACTGTAAATTTGAGGTCAGCTTAGGCTACATAACAAACTGGTGTTTCAAATCCTAATCTACCCCTTTCAGTGGAAAAATAACCCCAAACCCCAAACACCAATGAAGCAACTGTGAAAATTAAAGCTTTCTTTGTATGAGCAAACACTCTACCATTTATGAATAGACATGAATCCTTTCCCTTCCTGTATCACCACTCAAAATCTAAATGTGAAGAGGATGAGGGGTGATGACCCTGAGGCTGAGCTCTTTGCTCACTGTACCTGTCATGTCTCAGTGACTTCAGGTCTACATACACAGTTGTTGGATCGGGCCCCGAGGTTCCCTGGAAAAGAACAAACCAGCACAATATTTATTTAAGGCCTGAATGACCTACCCCTGTGTATCACATCACACAGATGTGAGGTGGAGGGTCCCCTGAAAGATTCACTCTCACTTTTTCTTCCACCACGTAAGACAAAGGCAAAGCCAGCAGGTGGGGGAGCCTTGAGCTAAGTCCTCTTAGATGTCTCTGATGCACTAAAATAGCACCAAACTCAGGGGGGTTTACCTGAGCAGGGCTCAGAGCAGGGATGAGAGAAGCCACCATGCCAAAACGGATGAGAGCAAGGGGCACAAAGGGACTCCACAGGAAAGTATCATGACACTTCCACAAGCCACCTGAACATGGTGTCGGTGCCAGGAGACATCAAAGTCTTGGCACCTTCTTTCACTCTGACCATGCCTCACTCACTTGCTTCATAAGCCTCCAAGCAGCATAAACACAGGCTGTACTGGACCCACCAAGAACAGCAAGGCAAAAAAGGAGAGATACAGGTATGTTTCTGTTTTTAGTTTTTTCAATACAGGAATGTTTTTAAAAGGAAAAAGATATAGAAGATAGGGGGAAAAAAGATGGCTGTATTTTAGCTTAGCAGGGGTGGTGCACGCCTTTAGTCCCAGTACTCAGGTGGATCTCTTGTGTTTGAGGGCAGCCTGGTCTACAAAGCGAGTTCTAGGACAGCCAGGGCTAAACAGGGAAACCCTGTCTCAGGGGGAAAAAAAAAAAAAAAAAAAAAAAGAAGGCTGTATACTATATATTAATAAAATTGCAAACAGGACTCAGAGAGTCTCCCAGAATACTCCATACTAGGAGAAAGGTTTACAATGGAGCCTAATGGCTGTTCTTGTCTCAGCACTTTCCTAGTAACCTGTGGACCTGCAGGCCAACCCTGGGGCAAACAAAAGTGCCATGTTATAGACAACATAAGGAGACACAGAGCAGGTGAAATAAAAGCCTAAAATTCCACAATAAGTAAATAGAGCAGTGTGGCCTTCAAGTCCCCACTATGGAGCCTCATAGTCCTCTGTGTGTGTGTGTGTGCGCGTGCGCGTGCACGCGCGCATGTGCCCCCGCCATTCTTAGCTCTCAGAAGACTAGGACAGGAAGATTGCCTTGCGTTTGAGACTGTCTCAGAGAACCACTAACAGCAAGAACCATTTCATGGCGTTACCTGTAAACATATGGCTACATTGACTCTGGCTCCGAAAGTGGTGCTGACAGCTCGAGGGGACAGACCAATGTCTTTAAAGAGCTTGGAGAAGGACTGCTGGAGGGTGATGCGGGGTCGCTCCTCTGCTACCACCACACAGGTCCTGATGCAGGAGAGGTTGATCCCTCGGGTCTGGAAGACATTGGTGTCAGAAATATGGTTAGGAAGATCCCTTCTTGTCAGGAAAAGCAAATAGCTACTTTCTCAGCCCAGACATGGAGAAAAGCAGCTACAGAAAGGAAATGCCAAACATCTCAGTACAATCACCCATGAGGAGGCCTGCTCCACTCTACTTCATGTCTTTCTTGTTTAATCTAAAATCTCAAGGTGTGGGCTGTGGCTGGCCTGCTCTGTAGCTATGGCTGTGGCTGTGGCTGTGGCTATGATTGGGTCTATAGGTGTAGCTGGGGTTGGGTCTGTGGCTAGTATGCTCTGTGGCTGGTCTGGTCTGTGGCTAAGACTGGCCCTGCCCAGTCTTAGGACGTCACATTTGTGTCTGCTCCTCACCTTTAGCACCTCCACTTGGTTCCCCAGCCCTTTAGTGCAAAGCTCCATCACTGAGTAGGAGCAGAAGGTGTCCCTTATCTTGTACTGGTTGACCGTGGCAAGCCAGAGGAAAAGGTTGTTCTCCAGCTCCAGAGGAGGAATCAAGATGGACTGGTGACCAGAATAGACGCTGCAAAGAAAAAGTGGAGAGCTGACATGCACTCACTCTCAGCATCCTAGAGCACTGGCAGGAGAGAGACAATAGAGCACCATACTGGGTACAAGGCTGACCAATTCATCTGATTCCTGCATGACTCACAAGACACATGACCACAAAACAAAGCAGGCTATGGTAACTGCACTAACAAATTCACAGGACAAGTCGAGAGCACAGGATAAAGACAAGCCACTCAAACTGACAAAGTGGGGCGTGGGGGTGTTTCTCTAAGTTGAAAGTGTCTAGAAGTAGGGTCAAGGTGGGAAGGCAGAGGGGCAGCATGTATGTAGACAGAGAAGTATGGTGCACAGAGGGAGTGAGGCCAGGAGGGCTGGAGCGATCGTGAAAGGTCTCAGCTGCCACATGAAGTGTGGTTCAAAGTTCTTATGAAACCAGCATGGAGTAGGAACCACTAAAGGATGGGAGATGGTTACAGGGGGCTACAGAGACTGGGATGGTAAGGGTTGGATCCCAACAGTGTAGCAGGACAAAACAGAAAGATCCACAGCCATGAAGTCTAATCCTCTAAACCCAGGGTCACCAAGAGTTCAGTAATACCATAGTTGGGATCTGGGTCAATTCAGTTCAGAGAAGACCTGATTAGCTTTTTTTCTTCCATGTAAAACGGGTAATTTGCCAGGGTATAAACATGTAATTACCCCACTAGCCCACAATAGGAGACCTTGAACTCATAGTCAGCCTTCCAATTTAATCTCCAAGTCCTAGAATCACAGGAGCAGCCATCATATCTTGTTCTGTTGCTTTGTTTATTGTTTTTTGTTTTGTTTTTCCAGGCAGGGTTTCTCTGTGTAGCTTTGGAGACTGTCCTGGAACTAGCTCTTGTAGATCAGCTGGCCTCAAACTCACAAGATCCACCTGCTTTTGTCTTCCCAGTGCTAGGATTAAAGGTGTGTGCTACCACCTCCTGGATGTATTTTTCTTGGTTGTGAGTCTAGCCTTTAAAGTCTGAGCCATCTCTCAAGCCCAGCTATTTTTATTTTATGTAAATGAGTATTTGGCTTGAATGTATGTAAGTGTATCATGTGTGTGCTTGTGGAAGTCAGAAGACAGCATCACATATCTTGGAACTGGAGCCACAGACAGTTATGCGTGCTGGGAACTGAAAACGTCTTTTTTTTTTTTTTTTTTTTTTTTTTTTTTTTTTTTTTTTTTTAAAGATTTTATTTATTATGTATACAACGCTCTGTCTGCGTGTATGCCTGCAGGCCAGAAGAGGGCACCAGATCTCATTATAGATGGTTGTGAGCCACCATGTGGTTGCTGGGAATTGAACTCAGGATCTCTGGAAGAGCAGTCAGTGCTTTTAACCTCTGAGCCATCTCTCCAGCCTCCTGAAAACTTCTTTTTCAAGAGTAGCAAGTGCTCTTAGCCACTGATTTGTCTCCTCAGCCGCCATTTCTCCTTTGTGAGGTGTGGTCTTGTTAATGCAACCACGCTTGCTTTATGATTCTCCTGCCTTCGCCTCTCAGGTGTGCATTTCCATTCTTGATCTTGTCTAATTTTCCTAAGACCCAGAAGTGACTTTAATACATAGATAGGTAATGGGAACAACTAAACTGAGTATTACATGTAACTGGCATAGGAAGTTGAAGATAACACCCACATTCTGCTTTGGGACCCATGGACAGACAGCCCTACCCCAGTGAAGACAAGGAGATAGAAGGCAGATTCTGGAGGAGTGATAGGCACTTGTGAATCATTCATGGTGTATGTACAGGAAGCGAAAATTCAGGCCTGAGATATGGTTTCCTGGCAGGCAATGGAAAGAGCAGGGACTTGCCAGTCCTCAGGAAACAATCTGGTCAGGGCAAACGGCTGCGTTCCAGCCACATGATGTCACTACATACCACTATGCCCTTCCTGCCAAGCCTAGCGGGTACATCCTGGCTGTCAAACATGTCATACTTCATCTGAGAATCATCCTTCTATTTGGCTCTGCTTCTAAAACTAGGATTACAAGACAGAACAGAAAGCAGGTAACAGGAACAGTGCCATGTTATAGGAGGGAGGCAAAAAGCTAAGTGAGGAGAATAAACAAGCAATACACAGAAAACTAGACAAACAGAAATACATAACAAGATGCTTGCATTTTAGAAACAGCAGCATTTTACTAAAGTTAACAAAGCCAAGAAAACAAAAGGAAGGATGAGATGGCCACAGATCCAAACCCACAGTTGGGCTTCTCCATCTTACCTGCAGAGACACCAGAGTGCAAAGCCAAGTCCACAGTACGGGTCAAGGCAGATGGCAATCTGCCGAGAGGAGTACAACTCACACTGGAGCTTGATGGCTCTACAGAGAGCATTGACTGCAGAGTGGGACATCTGCAAAGCAAGGGACATACACAGGATAAAGCTGGCACCCAACAGGCACAGCAAGTGCTCTGACCAGCTTCGGCCCCCAAACTCTCCATACGACATGTAAGCTGTACTACTTTATAGCCTAAATACAAACTAAGCAGACAGTCTCACAGGACCTGAGTGGGTGGCTGCACACTGACCTTACCTAGAGCTCTTACTATCTGTAGCATGTGTATTAGGCACACACTTTATAGTGCAAATCGTTTGGGATTACTTTCTCTAGAAGATCCAGTGCTCATATTTAAATATAGCTGGGACACTTAACCCTCCAGCCACTGGTCTCTGGTGCAGCCAGCTAGCCTGCACAGCTGAGGTCCCTGGAATAGCAGGCATGTCTGTTCGCTGGCATCTCAGCAGCACATGGGGAAATCATTTTACCTTCACTCCTGTAAGCATGCCGGTTGTGGAGACACTAAAATCAAGATATGCCAACATCTCAGGAGTGGGTGGTTTATACAGCTGAGGTAACCGTTTCCTGGGTAAGTCATCTGCAATGAAAAGAAGAAACTTGATGTAAGGCAAACATGCTGGAACACAGAAACCATTGCTCTTTCACTACTTCCAGGGCTTTGCTACAGCCAAATCCAGCTTCTGGGATGTGTGAAGAAGGCCTGAGTTTCTTGTGTCTAAGCCAGTAGCTCACTATTGTCATCCTCAAATGCAAGGTAGGGCTGTGATGACATTAGGCAAAGGGTACCCACAATTCCACACCAGGTGAATTCATTTGCAGATGTCATAGTCTTAGTGGATAACAACCTGGTGTTCAATCCCAGAGGTAAACTATGTCACCAGCTCTGTGTCCCTGGGCTACCTCTCCTTGACATCTCTTTTGCTTTTCTCTACAACAGGTCTCCAAAATACCTACCTTCAGAGGGTTACTGGAAAGTTAACTCACACGAGGCATTTAAAAGTTTACTTGTGGCCGGGCGGTGGTGGTGCACACCTTTAATCCCAGCACTCAGGAGGCAGAGGCAGGCGGATCTCTGTGAGTTCAAGACCAGTCTGCTCTACAGAGCTAGTTCCAGAACAGCCTTCAAAGCCACAGAGAAACCGTGTCTGGAAAAACAAAAACAAACAAACAAGAGCATAGTGGCTCTTTCTCCTTACTGCAGAGTCAATGTGACCAGCTGCTGCCCTAAGTCCTTGCTGCCTTGTCTTCCCACGACGCACTGCACTGTTAGCAGAACCAACCTTTGCTCTTTCCTTATGCAGCTTTTGCATAATATTTTACCACAGCTACTTTAAAAGTTAGACAGTTCCCTCCTCTAGAATTCGGAATTTGTTTTTCACTCATTTAAAACACCTCACCTCTTCCTGGGCTGGAGAGATGGCTCAAAGGTTAAGAGCACCAACTGCTCTTCCAGAGGTCCTGAGTTCAATTCCCAGCAACCACATGGTGGCTCACAACCATCCGTTATGAGATCTGGTGCCCTCTTCTGGTGTGCAGATATATATGGAAGCAGAATGTTGTATACATAATAAATAAACAAAATCTTTAAAAAAAAACAAAAAAAACAAAAAACACCTCTTCCTGTGCTGGGGACACACAAAACGATTGATTGTCTAAAATGCACAGAGCCCTAAGCAGAGCTTACCCCCCGGTTCTGCAAAGCTCTCAGCAGGACTCACTTTTGGTACTACAGAAAATTAGATGTGGTGGGCTAGCTTGTTCTTATCCCGAATTTTCTTTTAAGTCAAATCCAAGAATATCAAGATGTCTGAAGCCCGACTATGCCCCTATGGTCCTTTGGTTTTTGGGTTAAGAAACAAATGTGAATTTTAAATCGCCATGTGGCTATTATTGGTCACGTGTCACCACATTGGCTCCACACTGCAGTTGTACATTATACCAAGGCTCTACAAAGCTCATTTCACAGACAGTTTTGTCCAAGCTGGGAGGATACCCAAGAGCAGCAGCACTATCAGGATTTAAGTCCACTCCTCTAGCTCTTCCTATACCTGCATCTGAGGTATTGCCTAAATATCTGATTATCACCTAAAATTCATGCATATTTGTGTTCTCTTCCTTCCTTCCTTCCTTCCTTCCTTCCTTCCTTCCTTCCTTCCTTCCTTCCTTCCTTTCTTCTTTCCTGTTTTTGGTTTTTTGAGACAGGGTTTCTCTGTAGCTTCGGAGCCTGTCCTGGAACTCACTCTGTAGACCAGGCTGGCCTCCAACTCACAGAGATCCACCTGCTTCTGCCTCCCTAGTGCTGGGATTAAAGGTGTGGGCCAATTCTTTTGTTTGTTTTTTCGTTTTGGTTTTTTGAGCCCTGGCTGTCCTGGAACTTGCTTTGTAGAACAGACTGGCCTTAAACTCACAGAAAGCTGCTTGCATCTGCCTCTTGAGTGTTGAGATTAAAGACATTCACAATTACTGCCAATTTAAGTTAAGTTTTTTGTTTTAACATTCTGGTTTTCATATCACATCACATTTGATATTTTGGGGTACGGCAACAGTATCTTAGAATGGGGTTGGAGTTGCATAGCAGTTAATGAAGCTCAAGCTAGAGCCCATGTCTTCTAACTCCTAGTCCATTTTTGTTTTAATTGCATCATGTCTACAAGTCAAGAGTCAGAGTGTCTCAATAGTGTGTGTGTGTGTGTGTGTGTGTGTGTGTGTGTGTGTTACATGTTTAGGTGTGTCTATATGCATGTGTATCTGTATGTATGCATGTATGTATGTGTCTGTGTGCCAGTGAAGGCCAGAAGTCAACATTGGGTGTCATTTCTCAGGAGTCATCCACCTTGTTTTTTTGAGACAGGGTCTCTCATTGGGACTTGGGGCTCACTGGTTAGGCTAGACCGGCCAGCAGGCTCTAGGGACCTGTCACCACACCACTGTGGCCAACTGTTTATGTGGTCCCTGGAGATCCAATGGAGTTCCTCACTCTTGCACAGATCCCAATTGAGGTGCCTCTCTAGCCTTTGTCTCCGTATTTTATATGGACCTACATGTATCTGGCCACAAAACATAACCATCTCTGGACGATACCAAAAGCATCACCAAAATACTATTTGCGCCCCCCCCCACACACACACACACAATGTCTCAGGCTGTGGTAAGGCCTGGGCTTGAACTAACAAAACTCCTGCATCAGACTCTAGAGTCCTGAGATTATAGATACGAGCAATCATATACAGCAAGACACTTTGTTTAAGGAGCACTTAGCATATTATCGACTGGTTCTACTGTGTCCAGTATGTTGGTAATACACACTGGGTGTCTGGCTTTCTCTGAGTGAGCACACAATGAAAGGTGTTACAATACAAAAGCTGTGCAAATGGGTTAGTGTGAGACTCTAGGAAACCTCTGGCAGTGAACGGTAGCAGCTCTGGAGCAATAATCCCCCTTTCACCTGTGTCAATGATGGTTGGCCAGGTTTTCACATCCACAGCTGCTGCCGCCTCTCGAGACTTCAGCAACCTCATTAGAGTCTGAGTGGTGAGAATGCATGCTGCTTTGCTGACCTAGAAACAAAGGGATGGCAGAAACATCAGAGGGCTCAGCGACGGCCACTGCTAAAAGTAGCTTGCTTGCTCACCATCCTGGCCAGGTTGCTTCATTCTTTTCCGCTTGTGTTTTTATTTCTGAAAATGTGTCATACTTAACTGTCCCAGGATGACAGGCATTTTTAGCAACAGTCGTACTCTCAGGAAGGACCCTACAATCTTAATCCTTGTAAAGATCTAATAAACCAAGACATAGATTCTGTAGGGTCTAGGGAATGGGAGGAGGTGGTGGGCAAGCCCAGAATTATCGTGTGTAATCCAGACCTTACAATGCACACCAATCTGAGGCCATAGACCCAGACAGAAGCACCCACACAAATGGGCTCTGTTCAGCTATGCAGGGAAAGGCAAAATGACCTACTTTCACCCACAAAGTGCGTCAACAGAAAGGAACTCCCAGCGCTTCCCCAGGCCTCTCTGTAGGAGCTAACGAGAGCATTTATGCTGAATTAAACTGTAATGAAATCATCTGTGCTGAGCACGGTTTGATGCTGCAGCCGAAGCTGACACAGCAGCAGCCTTTGGAGAAACAAATTTCCCATCAATTAGAAGTGGGTACCCTGACAGTGCTGGCCCAGGCTGCCTTCTATTAAAGGTCTCAGGATATGACACAACACAAATTTATTCAATTTCAATTCTCATATATTGCAAAAATGTCTATCACCCCCAGGACAAAATTCAGGGGTTTTGTTTGTTTTGGTGCTCTAATGGTTAACAAGGGCTCAACCACTGAAGCCATATCCCAGTCCTGAAAACATCACATACATATACAATGTATCACGATTACATTCACCCCCACCACCTCTCATCTCCCTCCCAGGTTCATTCCTTCCTTCCTTCCTTCCTTCCTTCCTTCCTTCCTTCCTTCTTTGCTGAGTCCAGCTAATGGTGACCATCTGCACACAGGCACAAAGTCAACCACTGTGACATGGGGAGCTATAAGTGACCACACTCCTAAAGAAAAGTAACTTCTATTCCTCTGGCAGCCATCAGCTTCTCAGCTGGGGGTGGGGTCTAGGAAGTCCCTCTCCTTACACACCTTTTAATTCGAAATAAAATTAACCCAAATAAAAGTGATCTGACTGGGAGAACTTGACAGGAAAAATTACACTGTTTCTTGTGCAGGAAAAAATTCAGACAGGTGGTAACATGTTTTAGGAAGGGATTCAGGGCAAGATTTATGGAAAATTACTAAACACAGCTCAACCCTCAGTGCTGGGGATTAACATATACAATCCCTACTCCTCCAATCATCGATTTTCTAGTCACTGAATGATGATCAACACTTTGTCCAGATTTAAAAAAAAAAAAAAATGGAGACAGCTGGTAGTTTGTTTTTGTTTGCCTGTTTGTTTATTTGTTTTGTTTTTTGAGACAGGGTTTCTCTGTGTAACAGCTCTGGTTGTCCTTGAACTCGCTCTGTAGGCCAGGCTGGCCTTGAACTCATACCGATCCGCCTACCTCTGCCTCCCAAGTGCTGGGATTAAAGACATGTACCACCACCATCTGGCCTGTTTGTTTTTGACATACTCTCTCTACATAAATAAGGTTGGCCTAGCTGACAGCTGTGCATCTGCTCCTGAGTGCTGGGATCACAGGTGCACACCTGGGATGAAAATGTGATGACTCAGCACTACAGAACCAGGAAGTTATTAAGGTTCTTAGTTGTCTGACTGTGATTCTCTGAAATGGGTCAGACAGAGATATGGAAGGTACTCACGTCAACGATCATGCGAACCGTGGGCAATGTGGCAGTGAGGTTTTGAGCATGAGGAGGCCGAACAGTGACAGGTATACACCCTGCATACAGGCAGCCATAGAACGCAGCAATTAACTCGATGCCTACAAGACAGAGGGAGGGCACTGTCAGGGGAGTCACTTAGTTGCTGCTACCACAAGGAACTGAACTCAGAGCCTCTGATCATGTGACAGACCACAAGGAACTAAACCCAGGGCTTCCAATTGTGTGACAAGTGGGTTACTTATTCATTTGGTGTTGATTTTGTTTTGTTTTGGAGACAGGGTTTCTCTGTGTAGCCCTGGCTCTGCTGGAGCTCACTCTGTAGACCAGGCTGGTCTGAAACTCACAGAGACCCACCTGCCTCTGTCTCCCGAGTGCTGGGATTAAAGGCATGCGCTACCACCACCAGGCTTCATTTGGTGTTGAGACAGTCTCTCAAGCACTGGGATTACTGGTGTATATCACTATACCTGGCTCATATGGATTATTAAACCACAATTCAAACAAGACACAGACAGAATACATTTTAATAATTAAGAATAATAGAAAGTCTGGCATGGTGGCTCATAAAGTATTTGCAAGGTTGAGGCAGGCATATTGCCAATAGATCAAGATCAGCCTGGACTACACAGTGATAGTTAAAGGCCAGCCTGACCATCTTTAAAACAAAACAACAACAAATAAATAAAAAAGAGGAAGCATGTGAAAAAACCTTAAAATATCAAAAAAGGTCCCAAAAGGCCCAGGAAGGGATATAAACACAAAAATATTTGGGTGGTATGAGCAATCAAACCCAGAGCTTTGCATATGGCTAGCAAGTGTCATGCCTTTGAGATACATACTCGAGCTGAGAAGTGAGCTCTTGAAAGATGCTTGAAGGTAGGTTGTGATTATCTTCTACTACTTAGAAAAAAATAACTGCAGAAATCAAGGTATTTAACTATGAAACAAGGACTTCAGAGACTTCTTAGATGTTGTGGGTCATCAAGTACAACTTAGGGGCCCAGAAAGTGCTGTGAACCTGCCACTTCATTACTGACAGAGGGAAGACAACTTCATGCAAACACACAGCATTCTTGGTGCTCACACAAATGGATTAGCATAGAAAGAACAACAGGGAAGGTGGAGAAGGAGGAGGAATAAAAGACCAGGAAACAGTGAAATGGAGCACTGGGGTCAGAGCACAAAAGACGCTTAGGCATACCAGTCAGGACACAAGAGGGGAAATGCAAATATCTTTGATTTTCTTCCATTTGTCTTTCAATTCAAAGATTTCACTTAGAATTCTGAATACTGGGCTAGTGAGATGGCTCAGCAGGGAAAAGCACACACTATGCACACCTCTGAGCTGAGTTTGACCCCTGGACCCCACAGCGGGAAGAGAACCAACTCCTAAAAGTTGTCCTCTGACCTCCATGTGCCTACATTCATACTCACACACACACCACATACAAAATAATGAATCAATAAATTCTAAGAATGACTATTTACACAAAACTTTCACCAAATAAATTCTATGTTCCTCTTCTTATATAGAGAAGATCGTATCTGAGCTAAGTTCATGAAAGATGAAAGCAGCAACAGAGTGACCCAAACGCCAATCATGGTAGGAATAGTGTTAAGCCAACAGAGCCCACACAAGCATTCTTTGGAAGACACTGGGTAAAATGGTTCTATTCCTGAACATTCCACAAGTCAATCCCTTTTGCTTTTAGGGCTAAACTAAACCCAGAGCTTTGGAATGTGTTCTATCCCTGATCTTCACTTGCAGCCTTCACCCATTTTTCTAATGGATGGGTCTCACTGTGGTGCCCAGGTTGGCCTCAGCTCTCAGGGAGCTGTGATATTAGGTGAACAACAACATGCCTTGCTTAGAGGATCTCCCAAAGTCAAGAAGTTGAAGTCTTTCCTCACTCTTGAACTTATAATGAGTGTGAGTGTGTTTCTGTTGATTGCTCTAAGACCACCAACTGGGCTTGGAGACTTGAGTCCAAGTTCAAGTTGTCTGGGATGGACCAAAGAGTTTCCTGGCCAACTCAGAGGGAGATAGGACACACGGGGGAAGAAGAGGAAGAGCTAAGGGGTTCCGTGGCCCTTCTGGGAAGTGGAGAGGGTCAGAATTGTGTTTTAGTTGCTCTGTGGATTGCTCAGGTTTATTCCCTAATATTGATCCCTGAGTTTTATTTTTTAATAAAATGATAAAAGGGATGGCAATATTTGGCACTCCATGATGGGTACCACATGTAGCAGGCTTTCTTGGACAGCCAGCCCTCAAATCATGACACAGAGACTTCTTATTAATTATGAAAAGCTTGGTCTTAGTTTAGGATTGTTTCTAACTAGCTCTTACAACTTAAATTGACCCTTTTCTATTAATCCATGTGCTCCCATGTGGCTCATGGCTTTTACTTATCCTCTTGCATATCCTGCTTCCTCTCTGTCTCCTCTGGCCTCTCTCCTATGACTAGATTCATCTCTTCTTCTTTTCTCTCTGCCCAGGAAGTCCCACCTAACCTCTTCCTGCCTGGATACTGGCTATTCAGCTCTTTATTAAACCAATTAGAAGGCACTTTGGCAAAGACATATCTTCACAGTGTACCGAAAGATTATTCTACAACACGTGTGCCTGTCTGATCAAGTTATCTGTGTATGTGGGTGTCTGTGTCTAAGCATGTATCCGTGCATGTGGGTGTCTGTGTCTAAGCATGTACCTGTGCATGTGGGTGTCTGTGTCTAAGCATTTATCTGTGCATGTGTGTGTCTGTGTCTAAGCATGTATCCGTGCATGTGTGTGTCTGTGTCTAAGCATGTATCTGTGCATGTGGGTGGCTGTGTCTAAGAATTCACCTGTGTATGTGGCTATCTGCAGAAGCCAGAACAGAACAGCACACCTGGAGTTACAGGAGGCTGTGAATCACTAGGTTTGTAACTGACTCTAGTCTTCTGGAAAAGTGACAAGAACTTAACTGCTGATCCATCTCTCCAGCTTCTTCACCTTATTTTTTGGGATAGGTACTTTCACTGAACCTGGAACACAGTAGGCTGGCCACTGAGCTTGAGGGTCTACCTGTCTGCCTCTGCAGCATGATGAGCGCTGGTGTATACCAACATCCCAGGATTTTTTTTTTTAAATATAAATTGTGTGTGCGTGCGTGTGCGTGTGCGTGAGAGAGAGAGAGAGAGAGAGAGAGAGAGAGAGAGAGAGAGAGAGAGAGAGAGACCCATGTGGACATGTGGAGGCCAGAGGACAACTTTCAGGAGTTGACTCTCTCCTCCTACCTCGAGTTGCTTGGATCAACATCCGCTCATCAGGCATGATAAGTACTGTTACCCACTAAGCCTCTTCACTGGCCCAAAGCCTTGCTTTTTATGTGAGAGCCAGGGATCCAAACTCAGGTTCTTATGCTTTTGTAGCAATCACTTAGCCTAGTGAGCTTTCTCCTTAGCCTTTACTTGTTCTGTTTTTGAGACAAACTTGCTGTGTAGGTGAGGCTGGCATGAACTCCTGGTCCTTTTGCCTCTACTTCCCAAGGGTAGGATTGTTAGGGTATGCCCCCATGCCTGGCTCTTTGTTGTTTGAGACAGGTCTCACCATTAGTTCTGGCTGGCGTGGAACTCACTCTGTAGACCAGGCTGGCCTTAACTCATAGAGATCTAACTACCTCAACCTCCTGAGTGATGGCTGTCTATGTAACTTTTTACACAACTCTTACTGGTCTTGAATATCTAATTTTCCTGCTGCTGCCTGAGGACTGGAATTACAGCAGTGTGCTACCATGTGTGGCCTGAGGATCTTTTATGAAGTAAACACTGATGGAAACAGAAGGGAATGCAAAATAGTCTCAGCAGAGCCATCACACTGCTCAATGCAGGGGATGCAGCCTGGACCACACTTTCACAAATGCACATGGAGTGCCTTGGTGTTTCGAAGTACCAGTCCTTTGTGGTAGTAGATGGTGGCCCTGAGTTCCCATCCTGTCCAGGTAAGTGTCATCTAATAACACAGTTCAGAGTCCAGTTTACCAATCCAACACTTACCAGGTGGGTAGAGCAATACCACATTGTCCCCTGCATTTAGATGTCCCTTGTCCCCAAGTACTGATGCAATCCTCTCTGCTCGCTTATGAAGCTGAAGGCAGCTGGCTGTGCACACAGTAGTTCCCTTTTGAATAGAAGAGGCAAAAGTGGACAGAAGTTCAGTATAGAAACAGAGGCACAAATAAACACAGTCAAGCAGACATTACACTTCAGAGAGTAAATTATCAACTTGAAAAAACTTCCCTGGTAACAAATGTCCCAGGTACTCAGGGTATGTTAGTATTGACTTAAAACAAACATATTTATAGTTTTGCTTTCTTAAAGTTTTCTTAATGTCTTCTTTCTTCTTTTTCTTTCTTTCTTTTTTTTTTTTCAAGACAGGGTTTCTCTGTGTAGCTTTGGAGCCTATCCTGGCACTCGCTCTGGAGACCAGGCTGGCCTCGAACTCACAGAGACCCGCCTGCCTCTGCCTCCCAAGTGCTGGGATTAAAGGTGTGCGCCACCAACACCCGGCTTCTTTCTTTCTTTTTTAAAGATTTATTTATTTATTACATATACAGTTTTCTGCCTATGTGCCAGCAGAGGGTACCAGATCTCATTATAGATGGTTGTGAGCCACCATATTGTTGCTGGGAATTGAACTCAGGGCCCCTGGAAGAGCAGTCAGTGCTCTTAACCTCTGAGCTATCTCTCCAGCCCTCATGTTTCTTTCTTAGTATACATGAATTACTCTACTCATGTGCTTGTTTTGAGACAGTGTCTCAGGTGACCTAGATATGTACTCTGAGGATGATCTTTAACTCCACATCTTTCTGTTTTTACTGCCCAGTGCTGGGATTCTAGGCATGCATCACCATGCCCAGTCACATAGTATTGGGGATTGAACCCAGAGCCTGGTCCATGCCAGGCAAACACTCTCCAATCCTGTAAGTGACTTGTAATACCTTGGCATTTAAGAGCATGAAGAGTACGTGGTCAGGAGTTGCCTGGGCTCGCCACTGCAAAATCTCAGCCAGGAACTGGTGCTAAAGTCACAAAGCAGAAAAAAGGACTTGAGGTCAGCAAGTTTCAAAGACCCCCATAAGAAAACCACATTGCACTCTGTCCTGAGCTCACTGGTAGAAACTTGACATGTCTGAAACTCACCTTCCTCACCAGGTCATTCTCTTCGATTTGCCCCAGGTCCCTTCCTGCAGCTTGTGCTATGCGTTTACCAGCAACCAGATTCCCAACCATCACAGAAGCAGGGCCTACACCTGTGAACAGAAGCAAAATTCAACCCTGAAGATAGTGATTCAAGTGACATACTCCCAGAACATTTCCAGCCTGGCTCAAACTCATTCAAAAGTTGATTCAGCAATGTTAAGGAAGCATGTGGTCTCTTAGACATGGGCCAAAGAACCTATATTCCTGTGAAAAAGGCAACCTAAAAAGTGTACACAAAACAAAGTTGGGCAATGGGAAGTGCTAGAGACAAATAAAACAGACCCAGGGTGACGGGATGAGGCGAAGGTGGCTATGGAGCTTGTGTCTACAGGGCTAATTTTACTTCAGAGTCCACAGTTCCACTGGTTCCCACAAACAGCTTTATTTGCTCCAACCAACACAGCCTTAAGAGGAGCGCTTACCAGTAATGGATATTTGGTCTGCAAGGAATCTATCACCCATCAGGATGTGGACTGAGTTCAGCAGAAACATGAATAGCACTGGCCAGCTAGATGGCTTAGTGGGTAAAGATGTTTGCCACTAAGTCTGACGATACGAGTTCCATCTCTAGAACCGTATGGTGTGAGAACCAAGACCTGCAGCTTGTTCTCTGACTTCCACATATGTGCCATATGAATGTGCACGAATACTCTCTCTCTACATGTATGTATGTATGTATGTATGTATGTATAAATGCTTGGCACATGGGGGAGGCACTATTAGGAGGTGTAGCCTGGGTGGAGGAAGTATGTCACTGTGGGGGTGGGCTTTGAAGTCTCACATGCTCAAGCTACACCCAGTGTGGAACAGAGCTCACTTCCTGTTGCCCGTGGATCAAGATGTAGAACTCTCAGCTCCTTCTCCAGCACATCTACCTACATGCCTCCATATTTCCTGCCATGACAATAGTGGATTTAACCTCTGAACTGTAAGCCAATTGAATTAAATGTTTCCCTTTATAGGAGTTACTGTGGTCACAATGTCTCTTCACAGCAACAGAAGACTAAGACAAGGGTCTTCTGGGTGTAGTTCTTGAGCATCTGTGTCAGAGAACAGGTCAGTGGGAGACAGCTCCCAGGAGCTACTGCACACTGTTGTACCTGGAACACTCCCTCACCTTTTCAACACAGCTCTGAAAGTTTCCTGTACCAACACCATGCTTTCCCTACTATTCTCTTCCTCAATAACACAACTAGTTTTCTTTTCTGTTTCTTCTTTCTCTTAGACAAATTCTTACTGTGCCAACCCACCTGGCCCAGAGCTCTCTGTAGACCATGCTGGCCTTGAACTCAGAGACATCCCACCTGTCTCTATTATCCAAGAGCTGATAACCCAGTTTATCTGCACACTTCCCTGGGATAAAGGCTGCATTCTTTAGTTTGAGACAAGGAAGAGCAGGTCACGTGCGACTTCCATGAGATGTTTGGAGAAGGAATTCTCTTCTCTACAGCTTTCTTTTCTCCACTAGCATGGATGCAGAAACACAGGCTGGAGGTCGGTCAGCCCACAGACTCAAGACAGCCTGCTACTGAGGCTTATGGCCAGTTTTGTTTTGTCAGAGCCCTCATTCCTTCCTTAGCTGCACTCACACAGGACTACTCATCTACACTGACTTGTTGGGCATGGTCTGACTTGCTCTGGACAAGAAACAGTAGGAGGTAGTGACAGAAATAAACGCCCTAACCACGCTTGTGTGGGTTGGCTGGACATCCTACTTCAGTCATGTGTCCTGAGAAAACTACAACCCATACTGGGCATGGTGGCTCACAGCTGCAAATCCAGTAGTAAGAAGGCTGAGGCCAAAGCTCACCCACTCCAGAAAAAAAATGCAGCCCATGAAGAGGAGAACGCACTCGAAAATTAGGAGTGTGATCTGCAGCTCTTCAGACTCCATGAGTGAAAAAGTCAAATGTCTGCTATTTCAATGCACTGAGTTTGGGGGTTATTGTCATGTAGCACACCTATAAGAATAGTTTAGTGACAAGTCACCAGAGCAAAAAAGAATCTAGAGGAATGACTTAGCCATTAAGAGAACTAGGGGGGCCAGGTTCTGTTCCCAGCACCTATACAGCAGCTAACAACCACCAGTTCTAGGGAATCTGACAACTTCTTCTGGCCTCTGCACACACATGGTACACAGGCATAAATGCAGGCAAAACATCCTTATACATAAAAATAAGTAAGCATAAAAAAAATAAATAAAGGATGGGAAGTGACAGAGCACACCCTTGAAGGCCTGCCTTGCTCTGAATCTTTTACCTGAAGACAACAGACCTGACTCAGCTTCCGGTTTTCTGTGATCTGAGCCAAGACCATACTGACACACTCCCACATGCCAACAGCTGACTCTACATTCATCAAATTTTTCTTCTTTCTTTCTTAATTCTCGGCTTTTCTGAATTAGAAAATATTTATTTATGCCTTTAATCCCAGCACTCAGGAAGCAGAGGCAGGTGGATCTCTGTGAGTTAAGACCAGCCTGATCTACAAGAGCAAGTTCCAGGACAGCCCCCAAAGCCACAGAGAAACCCTGTCTCAAAAAAAAAAAAAAAAAAAAAAATTATCTATTTTTAGTACAAAGGTGTTTAGCCTGTTTGGACAGGATGCACATGCAGTACCTGAGAGGCCAGAGAGGACATCAGATCCCCTGGAACCAGAGTTACGGTGTGAGCACTCATGTAGGTGCTGGGAATTGAACCCAAGTCCTCTGGAAGAGAGGCCAGTGTTCTAAATTGCTGAACCATCTCTACATCTGCTACTTATCTGAATTTTTATCAAGCTTCAAACTCCCACTCTATTCCCTCACCATCTCTACTCATCAGTGCCAGCATTTTCGAACTACATTGGTCTTCTTCATAGCTTTGTGGCCTTAGAAGGCAATCACAGAAAAAACAAACAAACAAACAAACAAACAAACAAACAAAAACCCCCAGCTTTTGTAGGCTCAAGAGTTGGCTCAGTGGTTAAGAGCACTTATTGCTCTTATAGAGGACCTATGTTCAATTCCCAGCACCCACATGGTGGCTCACAACCATCTATACCCAGTTCCAGGGGATCTAACATCCTCTTTGGCTGCCTTAGGCACTGCACTCATGTGATACATAGGCATAAATGCAGACAAAATACTGATACACATAAAAATAGATTGAAGGGCTAGAGAGATGGCTCAGTGGTTAGGAGTACTGCTCTTCCATAGGACCCAGGTTCAATTCCCAGCATCCATCTGGGAGCTAACAACTGTCTGTAACTCCAAGATCTGACACCCTCACACAGACATGCATGATGGCAAAATACCAGTGCACATAAAATAAAAACAAAATAAAATAGATTTAAAAGCTGGACAGTGGGAGCTGGAGAGATGGCTCAGAGGTTAATAGCAATGGCTGCTCTTCCAGAGGTCCTGAGTTCAATTCCCAGCAACCACATGGGGGCTCACAACCACCTATAATGAGATCTGGTGCCCTCTTCTGGGGTGCAGGCTGAACACTGTATAAATAATAAATAAATAAATCTTTTTTTTAAAAAAAAAGCTGGACAGTGGTGGCGCACTCGGGAGGCAGAGGCAGGTGGATCTCTGTGAGTCTGAGGTTAGCATGGTCTACAGAGTGAGTTCCAGGGCAGCTACAAAGAAAACCCCTGTCTTGAAAAAACAACAACAGGATACTATTGCAGCCCAGATACAGCAAGGAGGGTCTAGACCCTCCCCCAAACAATATGACAGACTTTGAAGGTCCTTGGTAGAGGGCCTCAATATCTCTGGGGAGGAGTTGGGGGGTGGGGTAGGTTGGAAACATGGGAGGAGAGGAGGGTGAGGGAATGGGGGGGGATGGATATGTAAATATGAGTAATTAAAAATAATAAAAAATTTAAAAAGAAAAAATAACAACAAATGCATTTTTTAAAAAAGAAACATTTAATGTTTACTGTACCTCTAAGGACATTTTAAAAGCATCTATTTGCCAGGCAGTGGTGGTGCACACCTTTAAATCCAGCACTTGAGAGGTAGAGGCAGGCAGATCTCTGCAAGTTTGAGGTCAGCCTGGTCTACAGAGTAAGTGCCAAGACAGCCTCAAAAAAAACTAAATAAATAAATAAATAAATACATCTACTATGCTTATCAGGGGAATGGTGGCATATACATATAATCCAGCACTTGAGCCGGGAGGTGGTTGTGGCGCACGCCTTTAGTCCCAGCACTTGGGAGGCAGAGGCAGGCGGATCTCTGTGAGTTCAAGACCAGTCTGGTCTACAAGAGCTAGTTCCAGGACAACCTCCAAAGCCAGAGAAACCCTGTCTCAAACCCCCTCCCCCCCCAAACAGAGCTAGTTCCAGGACAACCTCCAAAGCCAGAGAAACCCTGTCTCAAACACCCTCCCCCCCCAAACAAAACATCCTATACTGTCACTTAAAACAGGATTTTACTCATAATAGTAAGATTTAGGATGGGGAAGCATTTGCACATGTCTATGTTTCTTCAGTGTGGGGACAGAATCCAGGAGCTTGCACCTGATAAACACACACTCTTCCAGTTAGTCACGCTGCAGCATGATGCACATTTTATGTAGTTGCCATAGGCCTATGCAGGTAATGTGTTTCAAGACATTCCTTTTGTGTCCGTTTTATTTTTATGTGTGTGTCTGTGTGTGCGAGTGCACACATGTGCCATGTGTGTGGGTACCTAATAGAGGCCAGAAGAGGGTGTCTGATCCCCTAGGGCTGGAGTTACAGGCAGTCGTGAGCCATCTGGTATGGACACTCCAATCTGAACTCAGGTCCTCTAGAAGAATAGCACAGACTCTTGCGTGCTCAGCCTTCTCTGCAGTTCCTTTTACATTTCTTTATTAATCACATGGATTGCTTGACTCAGACTGTCTCATTTACAAAAGTAGCCCCAACAACAAAAGACCAATGAACAAATGCAAAAAGGAGAATGCTAGCCTCCATAATCCCTACATTTCCACTAGCAGAAACCACTATCGCTAAGATATGGTAGTTCTAATAGTCTGGCCAAGCGTGTGATAGGACTCTGGACAGTGATCTACGTTACTGCATATGCTGCTCACCTTTCATATACATATATATAATACATATATATGAGGTACACACATTCCTTTCTGATCCTTCCATTTTTGTCTTCTTTTTCTTCAACTTATGTGAAGGCTAACCCACGCTGGGTAGAGGCAGGGGTACCTGAAGAGACTGGTTTTGGCTTTGATGTTTCCAGGCAGACAGGAAGCTAACTGGGCTTCTCATTACCTTCTCTTATAATACAAAAGTGTTGGCACAACCTAGAAGGCCATGCCAGTTTTAAGTCCCTTCCTCAACTCTTTCATTGAGACAAGGCCTCACTGTGTAGCCCTGGATGGACTGGAACTTACTTTGTACACCAGACTGGTCTTGAATCCAGAGGTCCCAGCTGTCTTGAGATATGCCACCACACCCTGCCTTATTTCTTGAGATAGGGTCTCAACTGGATTTGACATATGTTTGAACAGGACTGCTATCAATCATTTACAATCAGTGCCTTAGCTTTCTGAGCCCTGCGACCAGCTTTGGCTCAGATATCAGGCAAGAAGGTGAATCTGATTTGTGTTTCTCTTTTCCGAATGGCAATTCATACTCTTTTGGTTTGTACCTTTAAAATGGCCAACACAAAGCATGCTGTTTATCTTCTTCTTATAATTCAGAAAACACCTGTTCCCCAGAGGTAAGATAGGCCCACACCAAACTCCAGCAGCTGCGAGACCCCACAGAAAGTCAGTATGTCACAATGACACTAAGAGTGAGTCTCAGCTCTGTACTAACCAGCCATGTGACTTTATAGGCTCACGTTTGGGAGCACACATGTAACGTGAACAGCCAGCACGTAGTGAGCACTGTTAGACACCAGCTGCTCTTGTCACCAGAGGACTCTGGTCATGGTGGCAAACTTGGAGCAGGAGAAACGGCCACCAGAGCAGCATGACCCACAGGGGAGCAGTCTTCCTGGCTGTGGGTCTGCAAGTGCTGTTCTTGTGTTAGCTCTGGAGAGTCTAAGCCCACGAAGCATCACACTCAAGTCTCTGGCTTCTGGAAGCCACATTGCAATGTCATGGCTAAAAGCTAGATGTTCGTTACCTGGTTGCTTTTGTCGGGGTTTGGGCAAGTTCGTCACACATGTATGTGGGCACATGAGGATATTACACGGGTGTAGAGATCCCTCAAGAAAGAGCTGTTTCGTCTGAGATATGTGGATCCCTCCTAGTGGAGTTTTTGGTAATGTGTTGGCAGGCACCAGAGCAAGACAGTAAACGCCTACTTGATGGATGCTATCAATTGCCTGGAAAAACACAAAGAAAAGCATTCAGGGAGATTACTTTGATGACATTTGATATATCCTGAGACAGCCCATTATTTTACTGCAGAATGTTTCTCTATCCATCCCAGGATGAATGTTTGTCCAGAAAAAATGGAATGAGGATGAGGACTCACCAGATAAGCTCTTTATGTTGGCAACCTGTGTCCTCTTACCACATTAAAAACTCTACAGTCAATTTTGATGAGAACTAACTCGATGAATATCAAATAAAGTTAGAGAATTGGAAAAAGAAAAAAGATGTACTATGAGGGTGGATATGGGGGTGCCACTATGACTGTGGTGTGCTCATGTATACCCCTCAGTGTCCCTGTGGAGGTCAGTGGGCGGCTCTGTGGGATCTGTCTCTATTTCCACCTCTAAATGGGTCCCAAAGATTGCATTGACGTCATCAGGCTTGCACTGCAAGTGCTGTTACCAGAGGAGCCATCTTGCCAGGCCCTTGTTATTCTTTTTTATTTAATTATCTTTATTTTATGTTCATGAATGTTTGCCTATACGTATGCTTGGTGCCCATGGGAGCACTGGAGCTACAGAAAGCAATCAGCTCGGGAACTGGAATCCAACCCAGGTCCTCTGGAAGAACAGCCAGTGCTCTTACCTTAAGATCAATCTCTTCAGGCCTTACTATTGTTTGTTTGTGACAGGGTTTTACAATTTAGTTCATAGTGGTGGCTTTGAAATCTAAAATTCTCCAACCTCTGTCTTCCAAATGCTGGGATTATAGCCATGTACTGTCACTCCTGACTAAAATGAATCTTTGCATGTCTACCTTTCAGATAACCATTTCAGACCATTCCTACAGTTTTGATAGTATTTTCAGCCTAGTTTATATTCAGATTATGTCCTCTGATTTTTTGTTTTGCTTTGTTTTTTTGAGACAGGGTCTCTTTATGTAGCCCTTGATGTCCTGGAACTCAACTCAGAGATCTGCCTGTCTCTGCCTCCAGAGTGCTGGGATAAAAGGTGTGCGCCACCAGTCCTTATTCTTTTCCTTCCTTCCTTTCTTCCTTTCTTTCTTTCTTTTTTTTTTTTTTTTTTTTGGTTCTTTTGTTTGTTTTTTGAGACAGGTTTTCTCTGTGTAACGCCCTGGCTGTTCTGGAACTTTGTAGAGCAGGCTGGCCTTGAACTCACAGAGATCCACCTGCCTCTGCCTCCTGAGTGCAGGGATAAGAGGCGTGCACCACCACACCTGGCACTTCTTTTCATTTTTACACTACAAACAGCCTACCTCTGGACTAGCTAGTAATTTAGAATAACACATTCTGAGAATAGAAAGAAATCTGAAGTTATCTGGTGCTGTCTCTCCTTTTGTGTCTGCTTCATTTCTATGCTACTAAGAGAGTGTTAAGAAGGCTAAGTGACCTAGGCAGAGAAGTCACAGGTCCTGGCAACGCTTCCAGTAACATATGAGTTGTCGCTGGGAAGGCAGGCCAGCTTACTCTGGACTGTGCATCTAGCCAACAGATATTTTTAGATCCTATAATGCTGCAGGCTAGCATAGGTATCAGGCTCTTGGGAGCCAAGTGGAAAACAAAAAGACAAAGTAATCCCAGCCTGCACGGGACTCATAGTGGGTAATGTCATCATCATTCTATATTAATAAGGTCATCACTGTCTACTGAGGGCAGACTACACACTTCCATTGGTGACCTCCCTCAATCCACTCATTCTAGAAAGACTCTGTCCCCTCGTTACAGGTTGGGAAATAAGCTCTGAAGTCAAGTCACTTGCTTACATTCACAGTAAAGAGATTGAAATGCATGAATCTAGATGGAGACTTGGCTCCGCCCACTCTTCTAGCTCATCTCCACTGAAAACACATTCTCAACACTGAAACCGAGTCTTCTCCCAACCTCATGGCTCATCTGCCTTGCTCTTCTAGCCACACAGAAAAGCTCCCTTACATAAAGAGTCAAGTTCTTGGACCCTCCACACAGACAGTATGGAAAGTCTGAGGCTAATTATTGACAAATGATCACTTTCAGAGATGCACTCCACATGTGAGCAGTCAAAACCTTCATGGGTAGCAAACACGCAGACATGATAGAAATAGGTATTTAGGGAGATATGGAGAAACTGGGAGGGTGGGGAAAGGAGAGTAGGTATGAACATATTTCATTTGTCTGTTGTACAAAATTCTTAAACATAATTTTTGGGTTTTGGTCTTTTTGTTTTGGCTTGGTTTTTTGAGACAGGGTTTCTCTGTGTAGCCCTGGCTGCCCTACAACTAGCTCTGGAGCCCTGGCTGACCTCAAACTCATAGAGCTCTGCCTACCTCTGCCTCCCAAGTGGACCACCATATCTGGCCGGCTCAAACATAATTTTTAGACAGCATATCCAGTAGCCAGCAGTTACAGCCACCTCTGACTGCACAGACCCAGTGCTCACCTGCAGCACGCGGCTCATCCACTGGAAGCTATCTTCCTCAGATGCATCGGGTCTTTGCTCTGCCACCACCACAATGCGCTCGTCATAAAATACAGACACAGAAAACACAGCAATTCTAAGAGAGACAGATCAAACATATCAGTCTCCCTTGAAAACCATCCTATTTGCTTTCCTGAGTTGGAATCAAAGAGGTGCCTTCCCGACATACCACCCAGACATGAACAGTAAAGAGAAAATGTGATTGTCACCAAACCAGGATCGAGTGATTCACTTAAAACAAAAAACAAAACAACAAAAAAAACATGGATTAAGCACCACAGAGTGGTAAACAAGACATAGCTCCTGTCTTTGTGGTGCTTACATGTCAAGAGACAGAACCAATCAACACATAGATAATGAAGCCACACTGCGATTTGCACCAGGAAGTGCCTTGGGCAGGACCAGCGGAGTGGGTTGCCCAGTGGAGTGGGATAGGGGTGCTTGGAGGAGCGCCTCCCTGGGGAGCGGACACTGGAGCAGAGACCTGAATGAGGTGAGGACGCGAGCCACGCGAAGATCTGGAGGAAGAGGATTCCGGGCAGAAGGAACGGAAAGCGGAAAGGTTCTGAGGTAGGGACGAGCTTGGCAGGTTTGAGGAACAGCAAGAAGGCCAGTGTGCCTGGAGCAGAGTGGTGAAGCAGAGAGTGAAGCCAAAGTCAGACACAGCAAGGGAGACTGAGGGAGACCAAGGCCGAGAGAGGGAGGGAGGATGGAGCTGGATCTAAGGGAGGTCTCCGCTCAAATGTCCCCTTACTAGTGAGGCGTTCCCAGACCAGAGCACCTCAGGTGTTCACTCCATGGCACTCTCCACCCTTTCTTTCATACAACCTTTGTCATTCACTGCCAAAGTACCTGGAAAAGCAGTGTGTAGTTGGCACCCTATGAGTATTTGTTGAATGAATGCAGTAAGTAACTGGAGAGCCAATGATGCCGGATGGCTTGTCCACTCCCTCCCGCCCACAGCAGTTACGGAATATTAACTATGTGCCAGTAACTGTACTGTGCACTGGGGACACAACTGTGACCACAGACAGTGGGTCTAGGGCCCAGGAAGTTCCATTCCTAAGAACACATTGTTACAGAAAACCACACAATTCAGGAACTGGTTCTTTTGTGATGTCTTCAAATTTTCTTAAATCTTAGGTAAATCAGGTCAAAATAGGAGGGATAAGGAGGCATTTGCTCCAAGCTTATCATACATGCTCATAAAAACGTTCTTGTGGATAGGTAACTCTACCAAATACTTGCCTGAGACTGTGAACAGCTGGAACACCTCTTGCTGCATTAGTAAACAAGAGAAAAGGCCTGACTTTGTCCACAGGACCTGGACTTCTCAACACTAAGCTGACCTATTAATTTCCACACAGAAACTACAATTGGGTTAGAAAGGAGAGGAAGAATTCTTAGCTGTGTACTTCTACAGAGTGGCGCCTTGCTATACTAGCCCGGATGGCACCATCTTGGCACTGAAGAATTATGGAAGGTGGGATGTTTTAATTTCAGTTCTCCTCAGTCTTCAGAACTCAACAAAGAGTACACGCCTCATTCCTCTCAGTCACTCAGTGCCAAACACTGTAGGATGTATATTTAAAGCCAGCTTCTGTTATTTTAACTCGAGCCAACCTAGTAATGTGGAAGAAGCAACTACAGAACATATCTCAGATCAACTCAAAGTGGTGACACTCATCTCACAGTGCTCACCTTCCTCGATAGACAGTCTTGATGGACTCCACAGCCAGTCCTGTAGCGACAATGTCATCTGCATTGTGTCTCCGACCACTAACCATGAGTAATCCATCCATTTTTCCAACCACGAACACCAAGCTACCCTGGAAGTTAACAATGATTTATTTACCTTCATTTCCATGTAAGACAGACACTTCATATTTCCTGCTTTGAAGTAAATCTCAAAAAAAAATGCTAAGAAAGATACCTATAAGGCAATGTATACAGTTCAATCCCCAATACTATAAAAAACAAACAAAAAACTGTGTGCATTTATATCAAAGAAAACAATGTCAAATTTATAGATTTCTTTTTTCAAGAAAGGGTCTCACTGTGTGGCTCTGGCTGTCCTGGAACTCGCTCTATAGATAGATCAGGCTGGCCATGAATTTACAGAGACCCACCTTGCCTCTGCCTTCTGAGTACTGGGATTAAAGGCATATACCATCACTGCCCACCTCAGATTTCTTTCTTTTTTTAAAAAAAGAAACTGGCAGGAATTAGTAGAAGTGGAATTTTTAGAGCCAATGAGGTGGGTGGGCACAGGCATGTCACTGCATGTGTGTGGACTCAGAGGAGAACTCCAATGAGCCAGATCTCCCCTCCACCGTGTGTGTCCTAGGGGCTGAACTCACCACACTGGGTTTGGCACTAGCCAGCACCCACTGAGGCCTTACAGTCTGTAAGAGATGAATTCATTCATATTCTTAGGGGGAAATTTCACAAGGGAGCAACTATGACCACATATCTTTTTCCTTTCCCAGCCATGGGTATGTGTTAGTTCATGTTACTTCATTTACTACTGGAATGAGAGGGAAGTCAAACAGTTTTAACATGTAAATAGTTGCTTTGAGCATGTAAGGGTAACACTGTTTCCATTAGGAAAGAGCAGAAATAGATAAAGAAAAAGGTCTAAGAATGCTGTCTATTTTCTTCCCAGAAGGACAGCAGGGCAGCAGGCCACTCGGACCACAGCCCCAAAAGCATCTCTGTGTGAACACTCCACAGACCAGTCCCACGTCTTGGCCTACTTACATGTACTCAATGAGCCAGCAGTTACCTCCACTGAATGTCACTCATTAACTTTCTGAGCACAGTGTAGGACCACACAGTGACTGGGCTAGAGAGAAAGGCAGAATCTCTATGCACAGGAAGCTACTGGTCCACCCACAATGCCAGAGAGAGCCAGCCACTTCCAACTGTGTCAAGAGCTGGTGTCAGTCAGAGAAGAGGGGCTAGAGAGGTGGCTCAGTGGTTAGGGGATGTACTGGTCATAAAGAGGACCTGAGTGTGGTTTCCAGAACCCATGTCATGTGGCTCACAACTCTTGTAACTCCAACTCCAGAGTATCCAACTCCTCTATGCATGCAAACACACATATAATTAAAATAATAAAAACAATCTTAAAGAAAAAGAGAGATGCCTGCTTCTCCAAATCTTTCACAGTGTCACTGTTCAGATGGCACAGCCTTTCTGGGTTCATCTTTCTTATAGCTAGTTCAGACCAGACATAACCAGATTACACAGGGTCTAAGGGGTCTTCCTAGAGCAGGGTTACAGTCTGTCTGTTTCAGAGATGGCTGAAGCTCCATTTTGGACCCCGGCAGTAGAGCAGTAAGCTGAAGAGTTGAGTATCTGAAATTGTTCTGGTGGTGGCAAGAAGTCAAGACGGCTGAGGCTACACCAGGTGTGGGTGCTTCCTAACAGGGTGATTCTCCACACCAAACCCCAAAGGTGAGAAGGTGAAGCAAGCCGGGCATTGGTGGTGCATGCCTTTAATCCCAGAACTCGGGAGGCAGAGGTAGGTGGATCTCTGTGAGTTCGAGGCCAGTGTTGTCAACAAGAGCTAGTTCCAGGACAGCCTCCAAAGCCACAGAGAAATCTGTCTCAAAAAACCAAAAAAAAACAAAAAAAACAAAAAACAAAACAAAAAAAAAAAAAACTCGAAAAACCAAAAAAAAAAAAAAACAAAAAACAAAAAACAAAAAAAAGAGAGAGAGAGAGGGTGAAGCAAAGGTCAATTCTATATGCTCTCACATGAGCTGAGCAGTAGAAGGCAGGAAAGGGGATAGGAAGGAGCCAGAGACAGGTGAGTTTACAGGATAGGGACCACCTATCACTTCTCATGGCCTGGCCTCCTGCCATTCTCTGGGATTCCTCAAGAAAACCATGTCCCCTTTGAGAACAGGCATCTTGAGTCCTAGTTGTCTCTAGACCTGTAAATACCATGGGCCAATTAACAAATTCCATTTTTTTCTTTTTTTCTTTTTTGAGAGAGGGTTTCTCTGTGTAACCCCGACTATCCTGGACCTCACTCTGTAGACCAGGCTGGCCTTGAACTGAGAAATCCGCCTGCTTCTGCCTCCTGAGTGCTGGGACTAAAGGTGTGCCTGGCTCCTATGACATTTTTACATAATCTTCTAAATAGAACTTAAGTATCTGGTGTGGTAGCTTAATTCCAGCACTCAGGAGACAGAGGTAGGGTCTCTGTGAGCTCAGGATAGCCACAAAGAACTGTGTAGTGAGACCCTCTCTGAAGACAGTTAAAGGAGGAGGAATTGTGATTGTTGATAAGAGGCACTGTCACACCTTCAATTATTCAGCATTTGTTCAGTTCTGTGAATTAAAGTTCAAATGTTTGGATCATATGTAGCAAATCAACAGGAAGCCATCACTTACTGGCCCTACAAAGCCCAGCAGCCCTGACCGGATGAAGGGCACATCTCCCACAGGAGAGCCTGAAGAGGCCACAGGAATCACCTAAAAGACAAAAGGGAAAGGTGAAAAGCTTGGCTAGTTTTCCCAAAAAATTTATCTGATTTTTAAAAAGTCTTACTTAAAAGAAAACTAAAAGTAACATATGCTCATTAAACAGGGTGTGGTCAGCACACACCCTTAATTCCCGGCACTCAGGAGACAGATGTGGGCAGATCTCAGTGAGTGATCTCCAGGTTGGCCAAGGCTGCACAGTGAGACCCTATCTCTAAAAACAAACAAACAGACAACATCCCAAATGCGTGCGTGCGTGCGTGCGTGCGTGTGTGTGTGTGTGTGTGTGTGTGTGTGTGTGGCAACTGAAGGGACCAGCTTCCCTTTTGGCAGCCATAACGGCTAACACATGCTTCTATGACCTTGTCCTAGACACTAGAAAGTCAGATGCCTGCCTCGTGACAAGGAACCAATCAGAAGTTAGCTGGTGGCACTATGCTTTACGACCCTGGGTGTGCTTTACGGACAAGCGCACAGCAATGACGCACAAAGTATAGCAACCACCCTGGGAGGGCCTATGGGCCATAACAACCAGTTGACCAATCAACA